AATTAGTTAATAATAAAAATTTAGATGATATTATGATGGGAATAGAGTCCTAAAATTTCCTATGGAAAAAGTGCAAACTACTGCCCTCACAAAAGAACTCTGGAACACAGCATTATATCGGTCCCTGCTATATGCAGGGATCTACGATCTTAAAATTATGTCCCATGCTATATCAAAGAGCTGAGTGTATCCAGTGAGGGACCTGTTAGGCTTTAAAGGTTGTCAAAGCACTCACATGAAGAGTCTACAATGTCTAAATAAAATTCTTACATAGATATTTATGTACATTTTTCGGAGCTAAGAATAGGCAAAAAGAAAAACCTATATACTCAACTAAAAGTTAAAATTAAGATGGTTCCAACTGAGTAATGAATACTTAATTAAAAGCAAAAGAATTGCTAAGTGAGTTGCTATAAAATTATGGTAAACAAAAGAAAGTTCAATCCCCGGTTCCACAAAAAATAAATAAGTAAAGAAAAAATAAAATCTAATAATAGAACTGACACATTGTTTGAAGATGTTTTATCACTGCCAATAGAAGAAGCCTCCAAATGCCAGTATTATGTCAAAAGTCAGTAGTCAAGATGTCTTTGCATGATTACTACTAAATACAGAAACTAACAAACACAAGTAAATGTTCTGAAGAGTAAGTAAAACTGTATCATCCCTTCAGTGAAAATCTTCCAATGACCTCCCACTGCAATTACAATAAAATCTAAGTCCTTAACTGGGGCATGCAAGGCTCTAGCATGTGACTCCTGCCAAATTCTATGACCTCATTTCCCTCCAGACTTTCTTTTCCCCAGAACTCTGGCCCAAGTGGCCTTTCCATCTCTCCTTCATGCCAAACTCTTGCCCATGAAAGGTCCTAATGTCTCTTTTGCTTGGAACGCTCTTGAATTGTACCACTGCCCTACATGAGAACAGGAACATGACTTCTGTTTGCATTAGCCATGCCAACTTTGTCCTAGCACACAAGTCTCTAACTGACTACCTGATTTAACCAACCAGTTACTTTTTTTTTTTTTTTTTTTTTTTTTTTAATGTATTTGGTACAGGTTCTCACTATGAAGCTCAGACTTGTAGTCGATCCTCCTGTTTTCAGCCTCCCAAGAACAGAGATTCAGGCATGTACTACCACACCCGGATTCAGTGGCCTGCTCAGCGCACCCAGGGAGGGGCCATCAGGGCATGTGGTGCTAGAGATTGAAACCCAGTTGCTGGTCCACTGAGCTATCTCGCCAGCCCTCAGTTTCAAGGATATTCCTCATAAATAACATACAAGGTATAAGTGCTTTGTTTCACCCCCAACATCCACCTTCACTCTCATTTCTATGGCAAACATACATGTAGTCTTTAGATCCCCACTGAGCAAAACTACACAGCCTGTGTATAAGGAGTAGAATGAATTGACAGTCTCCTGCTGTTGGACACCACAGTGTTCACCTCAGTCTCATAGGTTGTCTGCCATGTCCAAATGTGCTAGGAGAAGAATTTTGCCATCTCCATCAAATGCAAGAGTCCTCTAACAACCTCTGTTCCATCAGTCCCTGCTAAGTTGGCAGAGGCTCGTCAAATACCTTCACAGTGTGACCACTCTTTGGTCTTATCTCCCTCCCACCTATTTCTTTCTCTGAGTATTGCTCACCAGTAGACAGTTTACAATGTAACTCCCCTTCAGTGTCTGCTTCCTAAAAGAACACTGTGACATAGCTTCCATAATCTTTTTCTTCTTTGTAGGGGAGCATCTTTTATCTCCACACAACTACTTTGAAGATGATATAGTGTATTAACTAACATTCTTGTATTAATTTGTTATGAAAGCTTATTTTTTCATAAAATTAAAAGAGAAAAAAAAGCAAGAAAGCCAGCAAGGGGGAAAAAAATCACTTCTACCTACAATTAAGAATGGCCATCTTCAACAGTACAGAGGATTCATTTCATTTTGAATCAAACATCTGATGAAAGCACTACTACCACACTGTTTTCCTCCCCACACAAACAACCACAAAATGTCAACTCCTCTGTGAAGCCTTCAAATACAATCATCTGCTCTCTTCTTGTGGCTTCCTTTTGAACATGAAGCATTACTTACTGCACTGTTACAACTATGCACTTAAATGTCAGTTTCATTGTTAAAGACATAGTTCTTTCAGTCTGTACCTGCTTCACATTAACCATCCCAGCACCCTGTAATACACTGGTACAAACACAAATATCATGTACATTTATTAATGAAGACAGAATACAAACCAAAATTAAAATTAATTTTTAAAATTTTGAAGTGTATGGTCATTTTTTTAACATGTGATGCTGTATAACTGAGGTCAGCATATTTAAGACCCAAATATTTATATCTCTAAAACTAACTTTATTCTTTTTAGTGAACAAAATTCAGTGTTTTGAACAGTAGTTATTAATTTTAAAATTGAAAACTAATAAGCAATCTAGAGACTTACTCATTTTGAAGTTTTTAGGACACTTCTTCACAAATAACGTATTAGTTATCAAGAAAAAATTAAGTACTAGTTTTTACAACTCATTAAATTTCTTTTCAACTTCATGTACTCTGTCAGTTCTCAGTTACACCCTCCTGAGACAAAAATCAGGCCAAGCATTCCTAGCATATAAGCATGAAATAAATAAAACTAACCCATAGAAAACATAAAAAGAATAAAGAAAAACACTTTCTAACTTATAGTTTTAAAATTTAACACTAACTTATTAGTTTTAAGATCTAATAACAATTAAACCATAAGTTAAAATGTAGTAAGTAGCATTACTCTCCTACCTAGTAATCACAGAGTAGGTGAACAATTTCATGTCTACGTATTTTAAAGGAAGGCTAAGTCTCCCATAGGAAATAAAAGTGGAAATGAGTCCAAAGGAGAAAATGGCTTAGTGCCACACCCTTAAAATTGCCTACTGCAATGCATCAAAAAATAAAATAAAATAAGCCCCCGGAGTCTGGGTCAGCAGCATAGAGTTACAACTTAAGCATTGGGTCATCAGTGGCAATGGTAGGCTGATTATGGGTGAGGTAATATATTTATTTACTGTAGTAAGGAACTTACTGTAGTAAAGAACTGTACACCAATAATACAAAGAGCTATTATTTAGATTCTATATATAGAAAAATGCTTCTAATTACAATTCAATATTGAAATATGAAGCACATCAGCATAAAAATTTAAGAAACACAATATTATAAATCCTAATAGTTCAACTTGTTGAAAACCTTGAAA